TTTGTAATGCATCCATGCGAAGCAGGGACGGCTCGCTTGTTGAATATTTTTGATTTCCCACGGCAGATGAATTCGCTCAGAAATGCAGATCGGAACAAAATACCTAAAATCTGCATAGACTGAGCATACTTACTAAGAAAATCAAGGGTCTAATTGACGCCATTTCATTAACAATATTGCTATACGAAGGTACCTAATTAATTTTTCAACACCAGTTGGCAAAGTTCTGATGACATTTACAAGTCGTGTCGACCTCTGACCTAACAACGCGGGTTCACCCACAGAGAAATGAAGTTAAATTATATTTTTAGATGTTGTGGCTGTATTGAATTTTTCGGCGTTATGCAAAACTGAATTCTTTGTTGGCTACGAAGAGTTCAAAATATTGTTAGCAATACAGTTATTGTTTACTTTTTATGTAATTGCAATATTGAACCAGCTAACCGCCCACATGGTAAGCGATAACCGTCGTCTAAATATAAGAACGGCTCTAAGGTGCCAGCTATTGAGTAAAACCAACATATGCATGATGACTAGGGCCCTCACAGGACACTGCAAATTAAACAAGCATATGGCTAAACTAGGCCTATGCACGACAAGTATCTGCAGATTCTGCCAAACTGAACAGGAAACGCCGCTTCACATCCTATGTGGTTGTAGCCCACTCATGCATAAACGAAATATCTCCTTTGGAAAGTTTACACTCTTTCCCGAGGAGATAAAAACGATCGCTCCTAAGAATATCCTTCAATTTTTGTCCCTGACGGGTCTAGGTAGCGAACTCTGAAAAGGGCGAGCACAATAGATCTATGTAGGTCGCAGTGCTACAGGTGCTATACATCTGACAATAGCCCAAACAACCCAATAAAAAAAAAAAGGTGCCCAACGGCTCACAGGTCACATAATAACATTTAATCGAATTAGGTGTTATTTTGATTTATATTAATTTGTTTAATTCAACAATTAAGCTACAATTAGCAACTTGATGATGAAACTAGACTACCGTTACGAGCTTCAGAGAAGGTCGTAACGGTAGTCAAGTTTCCACACCGAATATTTGTGATCCTACACATGCAAATTGTGGCAGAATTAAACAAAATAATATAATATATATTTCATGGATTTACCATCAAATAGTCACATAATAACGTTAAATGACACTTGGGATATCACTCATGCATTGACATCTTAAGGGGGTCTTCCTATGTGATGGGTTGAAAAAATCGTTTTTTTTTTTTTCATAAATTGCTCCCTTAACATGTCTAGAATACGGTAGTAAAGCGATTTTAGAAAATTCGAAGTCGTTTTAAAGATACAGCAGGTAAAAGAAAGAGCGGTTCGGAGCGGTGAGTTGGCAGTTAGAGACCGGGCCTATTGTGTACCGTCGGCTTTATACCTGGCCTCCCTTTTATTAATATATTTGTTTATACAAGTTTAGACACGTTTCTACAGACTTAAAAAGGATAAAACCAATAAAGGAATAGGAGGAAAAGGAGCAGGTAAACTTACTGATAAAGTTATCTAAGAAATTACAAAATTCTACGGATTAGCAATTCGACGCCATCCAGATTCGCTTGAAGATATGAGAAAGGAAGTTTGGGCAACGTACTATCACAAATGTTCTTCTGATGAAAACCCTCAGCATCAATTTTGTCCAGAAGGCGAAGACAGTTGGTGTAAATGGCGTAAGGCTGAAGCTAATAATGAACTGGACCAATTTCATCACGATAAACCACCTCTAATTCCGCAAGTCCAAGAAGCTATCAAACCGGTTTTCGAAGATTTATCGAAAGACGAATTATTAATTCGTTGTTTAGGAGCAGAGACACAAAACAATAACGAATCTTTGAATTCTTTGATTTGGACTTTCGCTCCTAAACATCTTCATTCTGGTCCCAAAGTTCTTGAAATTGCTAGCTACTTAGCAGTTATTATCTTTAATGAAGGTTTTCAAGGTATTTTAAAAGTTATGTCGATTATGGGATGCCCTGTTGGTCGTGAAGCCCAATATGAGAAACGGGATGAAAAGCGAATCTTACGCTCTGAGCGGCGCGTAAGTGATGTCGTTAAACAAGCCAGGATTGACTCAAGAGCTGAACAATCTGCTTTAAAAGAGTTTCACGAGGAAGAGGAAGGAATACTCTATGGACCAGGCATCGCCGATTGAGAGTAAGTTGATATTTTAATAGTTTTTAACGGACTTGAAACTTTAAACGCGTTTTTCTCAAAACTGTGTTTTTCAAACTTTCCTCCATTGTATCTCAGAAACGGCTGGACCGAATTACTTGAAATTTACAGGGCACACTCAATATATGTAAACGCATGGAATGAACTATTATCAATCGAAAATTTTCAAAACTTCGATTTTTTTATAGCAAAAAAAAAAAAAAAAAACGCCTAATTTTCAACTTTTATTTCAAATGTCTATCAAAAATCCAATTTTTTTTATATTCATTTGATTATAGGTCATTCCGTGCTTTTAAGCCTACAAATTAAAACGCCGTTTTTTTTTTTTTCAGATAAGCCGATCAGCCGGAATCGTGGAGGAAGTGGGAGCTCTTTTTTTCGAGGCGGGGGTGTTCAGAGCGCTGTAACTCTAGTTTGACTGAATATTTTTAGCTGAAATTTTATATTTATACTGTCCAAATATGTGTTAATAAATGATAAAAAACTTGAAGCTCTAAATATTTACTGGTCGTATAAAAAAAATCCTAAAATATCCCTAAAAAACAGGCCGTCACATAGGAAGACCCCCTTAAGAAATCAGGCGTTATACTATAATTTCACTGCCTTCAACCAAACTCACATTACAAAGCGAAGTGCTTTGTGGTTGAAACAACTGAGATAGGCACGCAGACCTTTCTGTTTTTACATTTATCAGGTATTTATAAGCATAAAGCACAATTTAAAGTAGTATTTTAGAAACTATGTGCTACTTTTTTAAATTCCTTAAGGTGCATAATAACAAGTTACAGGTAACGCTCTGAAATTGACTACAGCAATTTAAATTACAGTTATTACGTGAAAAATAAAAATATTTACATTAATGTCTAGGTTTTTGACACTATATTTTATCAATATAATAATAGTAGGACCCGAAACAATGTATCGTATATATAAAGACTTACCTGAATCCTAGCACTCACGGAATTGGAAAGAATAAAGTGGATGAAGTCGAGAAGAGATATCCTAACTCAAAGGACGGCTTTCTTATTGAATGATTCTGAACGAGATTGAACATCTTAAAACTTTTCGTAACGTTTAAAACTCCTTTAGCGACTTCTCGTGAAAGTCTTGAAGCAATCGAGCCAGGGGGGGTGGCCAGTGAGAAATTATGTATATTTTGATTGCCTCCACCGCGGCACAGCCCTGGGAACGTCAGCATGATAAATATTTAAAAGCAAAACAGTTTGAATACCAGAGAAGCGGCCCCAGGTAGCGGTTCGTGAATATTTTAACTGTCTCAAAGGCACTGATACAACACAGGCCGAGCTCGCACATGATATATGGCACAGTTACATGAATTTGTGATACAAACGCCCACTACAATTTACTTGTAACATCTCTCTAAGTGGTCTGTACATATTTATATAAAAACCGGTGCTAGCGTTCATATTTTGCTTTCCGGGCACACTCACAGTAAGTACTAGCGTTTCATCTGAAATATAATCTGCATTTATATTTAGATCCGTGCCGTGGGAACTTTCAAAGAATTTATAATACTTGTAACAGTTATTCTCGGAGAACAAAAGGAAAGGAAAATTTCTTTGACAGTTTCCTTTGCGGGAAACAAGAGCCAGAGAACGGTGGAGTATTCGCCGAAAATGGGTAGCGAGTGGCAACAAATAACACGGCGCCCTCTGTGCGGGATTTGCTAAAGAGTTGTCTGAGAGTTGCGTTCCGGATTGTATTTAAAGGGCAAACTTCCTCGTCGGCAGTGGACACTAGGTTGTTTGTTCTAGTTCCCGGCTCACTTGGCAAACATCCACGTCGAAATGCCACATAACCGGGATAGTCCAAAGATCCCTAAATAATTAAGCGAAGGTCAGTGTCGTCGGTTATTTGTGAAGGAAAAAAGTTAATCGTTTGTCGAATAACAAACCTGCCGTGTTTTCGGGTCGACAACAGAGCCGCTGCGGCCCCACCCAGTTATTTATTTAGGACTAATGAAGTTGTGACTTTGTACCTGAAACTTGTACAATCCGGGAGCAATAAATAACTTTTCAGCGGTGGCGAGGTGCGGCCTGCCGAGGGCGGTTTGCGGGCTGCTCAAATAAAATGTTCGATATTCTATTTATTGTATGCATGCAACCTGCTATTGGTTATGACTGCCTGGTATATGTAAACTTACTATATTGCTTAATTATATTAAAATATCATACAATTCCACTTAGTTATCCAAGCAGAACTGTGTCGATTGAATATGCTAAAGAAGATTTACATTTATTATTATTACTTCGGTTAAATAACTGCTCAACTGTAACTGTTTCGGTAATTATGCTAACTGTCCTTATCATCATAATACTATATTTAGAGTAATTAATACCTTCGAATAGAGTGGTAGAGATAGATAGAAAATTTCGTTCGCTCATTTTCGCTCATTGGAAATATAATCTGGATCTGGGTCTCTATTGTATAGTGAACTATAAAACCGAAAACTTCGCAAGATTTTTATTTATTTAAGGCGACTAAAAAGTTTTTAATTTTCAATTGATTGTCCTAACTATTCAGATTATTCTTTCAAGTTTTACTAATTTTATAACTAAAATTTCTGTTAGTTTGGTTACCCTTAGATTACAATAACAGATTGATTTTAAAAGTATACCAAGGGTTCCGTAGATACATATAGCATGCAGGACATCAATATGTAAGTACAACCGTACCCAAACCCTACCAACTATCAGGACACCATAAAGTTAGAAGAGAAAGTTAGAACATATCAATGAGACCAACATTTGCCCAACCAAGAACCCATTTGGTTTTACAACCGAACATCTTACATCATGAACGTTCTGCGCGGGATCGTGGACCAGGTCACCGTATCGGTCTGTCCGAACTTCACTCGTCGGCAGCGGTGTCTGACACTCCGCGTCGAACCTGAACTGACCCTGGGCCACACACACAAACAGCACAACGGCATTACATAATGTAGGTGATAACGACATTTAGCAGGTGCAAGGAAACATTGGTCTTCTGATTCACAAATACACAAACATGTCGAATCAGACGATCAAATTTCCCGACAGACAAAACCAAGCATGACAAACGTAGAAAACTATATATAATAGCGAGCGCGGCATGCTTACACGCTTGCATGCTTCAATATCTACGAGCAGGGACGCATGCGCGGCGGCCACTTCGCGCGCCTCGTCGGCCATTCGCCGCCCACGTGGTGTCGCATCTTCCTTCACAACTACGCATGCTTCTCCTGTGTCTGAAGTCTTGGTATCTTCGTTTAGCGAAGCGCTATCAATAGACTGGGGTTCGAGGGGTTGCGGGATGGCAATATCGACGGGATCAGGCGGGATGGGCGGGATTTCAGCGTTGTCAAGCTTTGGAGCGGCCGTCTCGCTCACCCTTTTATGGTTGTCCGGCAAACTGATGTTGCACTCATTGTCGAATCGGAATTGACTCTGTGTCCAGGGTTAGCAGGAAAATTTACAATAAACAAGTTAAAGATTTTATTATTATTCTAATGTGAGTTAATTAGAAATTAATTGATTATAGAAATTATTTAAACATATATATATTACTTTAAATTTCAATTACAAGAAAATTAAATAGCAATGATATGCTGCTGGTAGGACTTGTAAAATCTCACCTTATAGCCAGGGCCGAGTCTGTGCATGGCGCATATTTGGTGTGTAGTGAGCGCCTCCCCGAACAAGTATATAGCTGCCATTTGTCCACAGAACACACGTTCTTCGTCCAACTCCGCCGTTGCCCCGATATAGCATTTGTCGAAGGGCTATAAAAAAAAATAAACATTAAATCATAGATAAACAGGACTGTAAAAAGTCCTCTGCGTGGGCGTGGTATCTGAAACTACGCCGTCAGCTTGTAAGTTGTGTTTTGGTTTTAATTTTAATTTATATAAAAATAAATAATATATATTTTATTTATTACTTTAATTTAAGATAATAATGATCCATATTATAAATATCGTATAGACTAAAATATACATGAAGTAATAAGAAATTATAAATTGTCTGTGGTCACGTCACAGGCTATAGCTATTGTTAGGACCATGCAGTTTTCAAAACTTCAAAACCAGATATTTTAGTAACAGTATTCCTAATTAGTTTGAAAGTACCATTGACTATTTATATTAGTAAGTTTCCTAATTGATAACCTCAAAGTCTGAACCTCTTCACTTAAACCTCCTGAATTTAAAAGTTATATTATAACACCAGCTGTACTCGCGACTCCGTATGCGTGCTTCGTAACTTTATTTTTCTAAAATAAAAGTTTTCACTAAACATAAAAGTAGCCTAAGTTATTACATCAGCTACCTGCCAAAAAAAGTCCCTTCAAAATCGGTCCAGCCTTTTCAGAGATTAGCCGGAACAAACAGACAGACAGACGGACAGATAAAAATTGTAAACAATGTTATTTTTTTGTGTGTACCGTATTTATATTCATATGTATGTAGTAAAAACGGTTATTTCAATATTACAAACAGAAACTCCAATTTTATTTATATGTATAGATAATAATATAGTTATCTTCATTGTGCACAGAAAAATATATACAAAAAATAACTTTATATACTCGTAAATTCTTATATTCTTATATAACTTATATAAATAACTTTATATATTCACAAAAGATATTTCCAAAAAAAAACTTTCTATAAATGTGCTACACAAAAGGCGGTCAAAAGATATTCAATAATACTTTATCTAAATCTGTTATGTGTAATACTAAGTGATCCCTGAGCATTAAGCAGTAATCCCTATTTAATAATCCTAACCCTAGTTGTTTGGGTGAAAAACATGCCCTTCAATTAATTTTAATAAAAAATAACCCTGGTAATTAGACGGCCTCGGTGGTTTAGATGTTTAGCACACCGCTTTACTTCTGAAGGTCGCTAGTTCGATTCCTCGCATGGTGCAAACATTTATATTCATGAGTATAATTGATTGTATCGGTCTGGGTGTTTTCTATGTACAATATGTATGTATTTTCGAAAAAAGAAATCTATTTATAAATATCAGTTGTCTAGTACCCATAACACAAGCTTTAGCTAGCTTAACTTGGGTTTAGATGGAGCTGTGTGTATTGAGATTAATAATATTTCCGATAGTGCCACATCCATATTTTAAAATTTTAAATACTGGCAATATAGATATAGATGGCGCTGCGTGTATTGTCCTGAGATTATTATCATTATACTATCTTTTGTCCGCGGCTTCGCGTTAGTTTATCCCCTTAGGGGTGGAATTTATCAAAATCCTTTCTTAGCGGTTGTCTACGTCATAGTAGCTTTATGCATGCAAAGTATCAGCCCGATCGGTTTAATATTGACAAAGTTTCATACAAACTTTCATCCCCTATTTGATCCCCTTGGGGGTAGAATTAATCAAAATCCTTTCTTAGCGGATGCCTACGTCATAACATCTACCTGCATGCCAAATTTCAGCCCGATCCGTCCAGTGGTTTGGACTGTGCGTTGATAGATCACTATGTCAGTCAGTCACGTTTGAGTTATATATATTTAGATTAATTTCCAGTAGCGTTATAACCATATTTTAAAATTTAAACAGCTGGCAACATACGTCATGTCAAAGTCTCCAAGATAAAAAAAAACAGTAGAGCAACGACACTGGCACACGACGCGGGACAATTGGACGTGGGACAAATTGACGCGAGACGATAAGAGGTAGAGCGGATCCGAACTCGCCCCCATCTCCCCCTGTTCGTACATTGTGCACTTATTTAAATTCTGGTCTGGTACGAGGATAAGAGGCAACGCCGCCGGCAAGGATATTACAAAATCAGGATAACGTCTGGAATTCTTGATGTCGCAGATTAGATGACTGTTCTTTTGAAATGTTCTAACAGAGTTAATTACATATGCCATTTTTTTTATGACATGTACCTGTACGTATCTTCATTCCGGAGGGCTAAAGTGTTACGAGTACATACACTGTATTTCATTCCCATATTGAATTTGAATTTAAAAATAATTCTTTATGATTTTAAACAGTCATGCTCGCTGTAAAATTCAAACTTGTGGCGGCGTGGTGGCCCGGGTCAATGTGCTCTAATATGGTTGGGTGCAATGATGGCTGGCCCATCCGTCATAATCGTGAACGGGTGCTGCTTGTGGGGACTAGTCTGTTCGGTTTACGAACACTGATTAGACTATTTGCTTTTGCAATAGCATATGCAAATTTAAGAATGAATCTGTATTATTGTAAACATGTACAACATTTATTTGAAATCAGTTCTTCTCATCTCGAATTCATTCCGAACTGCCGGTAGATTTGACATATCATAAGAGTCTGTAATAGACCTACATGAATAAAGATATTTTGAGTTTGAATTTGAATTTGAAATGAATAGCAGTTTCTTATCATCGAAATCATTCCGAACTGACGGTAGATTTGACATATCATAAGCAACTGTAATAGACCTACATGAATAAAGATATTTTGAATATGAATTTTAATACGAACTGAGTTTCTTGTTAGTTCTTCTCATCTCGAAATCATTCCGAACTGACGGTAGATTTGACATATCACAAGAGTCTGTAATAGACATGAATAAAGATATTTTGAATATGAATTTGAATAGATTTGACATCGAAATCATCATAGATTTGACATATCACAAGAGTCTGTAATAGACCTACATGAATAAAGATATTTTGAATATGAATTTTAATACGAACTGAGTTTCTTGTTAGTTCTTCTCATCTCGAAATCATTCCGAACTGACGGTAGATTTGACATATCATAAGCATCTGTAATAGAGCTACATGAATAAAGATATCTTGATTTTGATCTTTTCATTGATATCTCATTATAAACCATAAACATAGCTTCCAGAGCTTGCTTCTTGCCGGTTTAAATATGTGACATATGTACAGTTTCTTAATGGATTAAGTTATTTTGTTTAATTCCACTATTATTTACTATACAAGTCCGGGAAAGGGGATTGTATGTGATGCGGAAGGTGATTGGGACTGTGGAATTCCTTTATATATTCAAGAAAGTCCCTCTATCGGCTCATTCAAGAAAAGGTACCAATCGCATAACCTCAATAACATTATATGATTAGTTTCATCATTGTACTCCTAGTATAGTTGTATTTATATAATCTTTTGATATTTATGTATTAAATATATATATTGTATTGGACTTTAATAATATATAATGTGGACTGTCGACCCTATTATTAGTAATATACCATATCAGGTTGACCTCCACACTGTTCCCCTTGGAAACCATAGTGATAAATTCCTGGTGAATTTACTACGATGGGCTAACTGGCCTGACCTTATCATCATATCACTTCAACAGTTGTGCTCCGTTAGCGCAAAACATTAAATAAAACTGTCTAAAAACTTAACAATTCATATGTTCACATTACATTGTGTACATCTAAATCCAAAATGATGGCCTCGGTGATCTAGCGGTTTAGGACACTGCATTACATCCGATGGTCGCGGGTTCGATTCCTCGCACGGCACAAATATCACTCTATAATATAATAAATATCTTCATAAGTATGATTGTTTGTATCAGCCTGGGTGTATTCTACGTATGTATGTATTTACGAAAAAAATAATTATATCTATGTATTTGTATCTAGTATCCATAACACAAGCTTTATCTAGCTTAACTTGGGTCTAGATGGCGCTGTGTAAATTATCCAGGGTTATTTATTTATTATTATCATTTAAAATGGTAGGAGCAAGCCTACCAAATTCTTCCGGATTAATTTCAACAGTTTAGTATGGCTCCTGATTCGTTTTTTAAAGATCCACAAGTCTGTTGGCCTCTCAATTCACCCTCAATTTGCATTTTACCCCGTTGCGCTATAAACTCCAAGTTCACGTACAAAACCTTACCCGTTAGGTATTTATTATTCAGCGAAGAGCGTAATTGCAGTTCGTCCGCTATTTGCGGCCGCTAATTTACCATTTACCATCGTCTCTCGTCTCCTCGACTCTTGTGACAAAGCGAATTACAAAATAATAAAAGGGCGGGTTCAAGACACATTTAATTGTAATAAGACCAAGCCTTTATAACGTAGAATCGTACATTAACGGTTCACTCAATTACTCAACTTTGTACTGTAATAATAGTCTGTATATATTAAATACAGAACATTATTACAGTTAATTCAAAAAATATATAGCCCATGTATAAGCTATATTACTGTAAAGTTTCATCAAAATTCGTTCAATAGTTTTTGCGTGAGTAACATACATCCATATTCACAAACTTTTGCTTTTATAATATTACTAGATACTCGCCCCGGCTTCGCACGGGTGTACATGTATTATACATATAAACATTCATCTTGAATCACTCTATCTATTTTAAAAAACCGTTGCGTAGTTTTAAAGATTTTGCATACATAGAGACAGACAGCGACAGCGATTTTATTTTATACTATGTAATGATTAAGATTAAAAGTTGTAATCTTCTTTACATATAATAATGATATCTCAGGACAATTTACACAGCGCCACTTAGTCCCAAGCTAAGCAGAGCTTGTGTTATGGGTACTAGATAACTGATACAAATACATAGATACTTTTCTTTTGTAAATACTTACATAGTATATATAGAAAACACCCAGACCAATACATTTTCATACTCATGAATACAAATATATGTATTAGTTATATAGTTTATTCTACTTGTATATAAAATCAGATAAGATTTTCGTACAAAGATGTCTCCGCCAAGATAGACCCTGTCTGAGTCCCGCTGGCCGTAAAACCATTTTTATAAGCCGTGTTTAGGACATAGATTAAAATCACAGGATTCCATAAGTATAACAATAATAATAATAATCTCAGGACAATTCACACAGCGCCATCTAGACCCAAGTTAAGGTAGCTAGAGCTTGTGTTATGGGTACTAGATAACTGATACATGTACATAGATATTTTTTTTTTGTAAATACATACATATTATACATAGAAAACACCCAGACCGATACAAACACTCATACTCATGAATACAAATGTTTGTGCCGTGCGAGGAATCGAACCCGCGACCATCGGTCGTAAAGCGGTATAAATAGTAAGGATTAAAGATCAGCTCATTTTTAACTAGATAAAATAATTTCCTTTCCATTAAATATATTTTGTAGGGACTTGTCTTCGAAATACTCTATTACATGTACAGTTTATTTATATACATGTTAAAAGGAAACTTTGGCAATAACATCGTTGTGCTAGACAAATTTCCAAACTATGCACCGTGCAGTTGGGTCTAGATAATGAACTAGGATATCATAGCGTCGAGTAGGTGCTAAATATTCCGGAACTATGCGTGACCACGTGCCGCTCCTAGTGAATATTCATAGGTGAGCTCGTATGCACTTTAATTCGCCAGTAAATTTACAAAACTTGTATAAATATACTGAGTTATAATAAACTAGAAAGATCGTATACGCATAATGTAGGCATACATTATGATTTAAGAAATTAATAATAATATCTCTGGCCAATTCACACAACACCATCTAGGCTCAAGTTAAGCTGAGCTTGTGTTATGGCTAGATATTACAACTAAGACAACTGATATAAATACATACATAATATACATAGAAAACACGGTAACCGATAAAAACAATCATACTCATGAATACAAATGTTGCAGTGAGAGGAAACGAACCCGGGGCCATCAGAAGTAAAGCAGTATACTAAACTGCTACACCCGATGATTTATTTTACTTATTATTTTACAAAAATAATTATTTCACCAATTCATAACACCAACCGGGCAGATATGTTTAACACCAGACTACAGAGGAGAAAGGGGATTGTTTGTAATGTGGACTGATGATCTCATTGCTAGCAATGTACCATGTCAGGTCGACCTCCACGCGGTTCCCCCTGGAAACCATCGCGATAAAATCTTGGTGAATTTATCAATGGGCTGACTGACCTGACTTCATGTTCATCATATCATCCTCCACTGGTGCCCCGCCAGCGTAAACCGTTAACACAGGCGGGTGCATCATTCCATTATCATTTATAAAAAAAAACCAAAATAAACGTCTCGACGACTCAGCACAGATGTGCCTGGCGAAAGACTAGTAGAGCAGATCCCAAATGAAATGGGAAAAGACTACGCAGAGAGAGACAAAGATAGAGAGAGTGAAAGAGATAGAGAGACTAAAATCTAACCTCGCGGCATTGTACACACTGAACCTGTTAAGTAATTAAAATAAATTAAGTAAATATATTGAATAAATTAATTTCTGTTACCATCTCTCAACCAGGAAAAGCTCACGTTACTCGTCTTATTAAATGTTTCTTTAAACACTTTTACTTCAATTTTCAGATAATATTATATTCCTACATTTTATATTCGCTGGGAAATTTTGCATACTATATCTTGTAATGCATGAAATTGCCCATAACGACATTGTAGTACGTGACGGGTAGAAAGTTGTACTCGGGTAGAAATTGTGGAACTAGTGATGTTCGCTTTAGATAACTAAATATTATGGTAGGCTCCTATCGAGTTATGAGTTTCTGGTGCCTGAGGCTAGACTAACGAGTTTAATAATATTTGGACCCTATTGCAAAAAACAAACGAACTTCAATCATCATCATCATCATCATCTGCTTCTTCCTTATCCCATTTATTTGGGGACGGCGTAATATGTTTTTCTCTTCCATTCATCTCTGTTCGCAGTCATTCCGTTATTTACTCCCTTTCTCACCATATCATCTTTCACACAGTCCATCCATCTCTTTTTCCCCCTAAAAACCATTGTGATAAATTCCTGGTGAATAAGTCACTATGGGATGACCTGACCACATGTTCATCTTATCATCCTCCACTGATTGATTTCAAATGTATATCAGTTAAAAGACGTTTTTAGGTAAGGTCCAAGATGCTGACGTGTACACAGAAGCCTTACCTTCTATCGATACATATAAATAAAATTGGAGTGTCTGTTTGTAATATTGAAATAACCGTTTTTAAAGCATATGAATAAAAATACGGTACATGTACCAAAATAACATTTTTACAATTTTTGTCTGTCTGTCTGTTTGTTCCGGCTAATCTCTGAAATGGCTGGACCGATTTCGCCGGGCCTTTTTTTGACAGGCAGCTGATGTAATAAGGAGTAACTTAGGCTACATTTATTTTAGAAAAATTCTCTAATTAACTTTTTTGTTAAATTCCACGTGGACGAAGTCCCGGGGACATATTTAATGAATAAAATAAGTATGTACGTACGTACGTTTCTCTATACAGTTAAGTATAATAGTTTTAAGATATAATCTGTAAGTTTATATAGTATTAATTGAATAAATAAAAAAATATAAAATAGATCATAATTAATTTAACATTCAGTAGTATTTTTATTTTAGTCGCCCAGTGTAGAAAAATAGAGTCAGAATTAATTTAACATTCAGTAGTAACTTTTATTCCACCACCCATCAGAAATATTATATCTCAATATACATGTTAGAGAAAAACATATAAAAAACCTATTCAGCAACGGACGAGTTATTCGGTGTCACAGTAGTAAATAATAGAAAGACATAACTCACGTCATTGGCTAGAGATTATTATTTTTTTTACACATTTATTATATTCCTATTCATAGTATTCATATATATCAAATTAAATTGTGCCCGTATTGACCAAACACTTAATGCAATTCGCTACTTTGGTCCACCGATTGTAGTTCATTTTGTTTAGAAAAAAAATATACAAGCGTACCATCTACACAATAATAATAAATAATAAATAACCCTGAATAAATTAACACAGCGCACACACTAGTCCCTTATTGAATTGTTATATTGCAGTACTTGTCATGTGTGTTATGCCTTTATGTGTTATAACAACTAATATAAATATTTAGATATTTTTTTGTAAATACATATGAGTAAATATGGATATCATTGGTAGAGACGGATTTCCGTGGGGACGCCCGTTGACCAAAAGATGGATAGATTGTGTGAAAGATGATATGAATAAAATAATAATATGTTTAGATATTACGACAGATAGATAGCAGTGGAAGAGAATGACATACTGCGCCGACCACAAATAATGATATAAATACTTAGATATTTTTTTGTAAATACATACGAGTATGTAATAAGTAAGTAAGTAAGTTTATAAATCTATCATAAGATCTGTCATTTTGTATGGATCTGAATGTTGGGCTGTAAAGGAGATGGACGAAAGGCGTGTGCGTGTGGTAGAAATGCTAATGTTAAGATGGATGTGTGGTGTCACCAGGAATGACAGAGTAAGGAATGTGTATATACGAGGAAGTTTGAAAGTTGCGCCGGTTATAGAAAAGTTGCGAGGTAACAGATTGAGCTGGTATGGGCATGTTATGTAGAGGAACGAGGATCATGTCTTATGGAAAGTGTATAATATGAATGTGGATGGATGTAAAGGGAGGGGACGCCCTAAGAAAAGATGGATGGATTGTGTGAAAGATGATATGAATAAAAGAAGAGTATGTTCAGATATGACGACCGATAGAGAGCAGTGGAAGAGAATGACGAGTATGTAATAAAAATTACTGCGCCGACCACAAATGATGATGATACGAGTATGTAATAAAAATACCCAGACGGATACAAACAATCATGCTCAGGAATACAAATGTTTCTGGCGTGCGCGGAATCGAATGGGATAAAGGCAAGGCTATCAAAATTAATGATGATTGATTTTCTCACTCAAGTAGCTATTTATTTATTTATGTCAATTATACTATTCGACGACCTCAGTGGTCTAGTGGTTTAGCACACCGCCTTACTTCCGATGGTCGCGGGTTCGATTCCTCGCACGGCACAAATATTTGTATTCCTGAGTATGATTGTTTGTATCGCTCTGGGTATTTTCTATGTATAATATGTATATATTTACGAAAAAAATGTATCTAGTACCCAAAACACAAGCTTAATTTGGGCCTAGGCGGCGCTGTGTGAATTGTCCTGAGATTATTATTATTTGACAGTCTGTATTGACTCAAAATCTTAAAAATGAACAACATTTATTTGAAATATCTGAGTGGTAGTGGTAGAAAAAAATTATGAGTATTCAAAAGTACGTACATCAAGTTTATTTCAATAAAAATATTATTGAAATAAACTATAAATAAAGATATTAATAAAATATTATTGATATTTCTACTGTACAATCATATTTTTTTACAAAAATAGAAGAATCTTAATTCTGTTGTTTCTTTTTTAATGTAACATAAAAAATTCTCTCAACTGATTTTATATTAGCTTTCAGAGATTAGATAAGTCTTTTATTAGAATATGTACTTTCAGATTTGTTCCATAGAACCAAGAAAATATATATATAAAGAAATACATATATCGTATATTTATAGTTATGTCTAATGATTGATAGAAATAGGTTTTTTTCGTAGATCAAATTTTTTTATTCAATTGTATACATTATATAAAGGGATATCTACCACATTACTTATGAGCTCCTGATATTTCAATGTCGTTACAAGCATATTAACATAGTCTAGATCAGAGGTTCCCAAACCTTTTTGTGTAGTAGACTCCTTGCCATATTTTTCGGTATTGTGTAGACCCCCCATTCTTACCTGATATTGTTTATTTTAATTTCTAACTGTAGTAAAGTTTAGTGTTAAAAACAACAGGATGACCGCTGTCGTAGACCCCTTGCAGTTTGTCATAGACCCCTTTTTTTTTTTTATCGTGTGGAAAAATCTTCAACAAGACCGTCACCCCGCCGGAGGGATGGCGAGGTGGTGTTTGTCATAGACCCCTGGGGGTCGATATAGACCACTTTGGGAATCAGTGGTTTAGATCATTCGACGTTATCAGAGGACACATTATATATATATGTTTTTTATTTTTATTTTAGATTTTGGGCTATTGTCAGGTGCTAAGACCTGTAGCACTGCGACCTACATAGATCTATTCTGCTCGCCCTTTATCAACGTTTACTACCTAGACCAGTCAGGGACAAGAATTGAAGTATATTTTCAAGATTCAAGATTCTTTATTTGTAAAACATGCGTGATTACATAAGTAGATGATATACATACAAGGAATTTGTCCGACATGTTTAGCCTAGATGGCATACAATATATTTAAATGCTACAATAAAATATTAAATTTAAATGTTAAACAATAATAAAAAAGAATGATGTCATAATAATACAAAAACTACAACTTGGTAATCATAATAATACTAAAAAGGATATACAATAATTATATAATATAATACATTAAAATATTTAGGTAACTTATTATATATTTTAGGTCCCATACATAATATACTGTCATGCATAAGCTTTGTCGTAGATTTTTTAATACATAATTTATCAATGTCACGTCGATTGCGATTTACAATTTCAGAAAGTCTTATAAATATCTATATTATATTATATCTTTATTGATGTTAATAAAAGTGAAATATAAATTACCTTCTGGGCTGGAATTCGTATTTGACACAATGTTGGAAACCCTTGCCGCGTACTTTCATTGATGTTAAAACTAAACAGTTGCCTACAAAATGAGCCGTGTAACCAACGCCTTTACTTGTCTTGAAGCTGTAAAAAAAGTAAAAAAAATTATAAGCACGGTGTTTATACTATAACTAGCTTTTGACTGCTGCTTCGCTCGCGTTAATTTATCCCCTTAGGCGTGGAATTTATCAAAATCCTTTCTTAGTGGATGCCTACGTCATAGTAGCTTTATGCATGCATGTTTAAAATTGACAAAGTTTCATACTAACTCGCTATCCCTATTTTATCCCCTTAGGCGTGGAATTTATCAAAATCCTTTCTTAGTGGATGCCTACGTCATAGTAGCTTTATGCATGCATGTTTAAAATTGACAAAGTTTCATACTTTCTTTCAACACCTATTTTATCCCCTTGGGAGTAGAATTAATCAAAATCCTTTCTTAGGAGATGCCTACGTCATAACATCTACCTGCATGCCAAATTTCAGCCCGATCCGTCCAGTGGTTTGGGCTGTGCGTTGATAGATCACTACGTCAGTGACTTTTGAGTTATATATATTTAGATACATTTTTGCAACATTTTATTGATATGTAAAACAACTATTTTTTGTGTAAACGCGGTTTTAAAGTTTTTAGTGTAAAACCTCCAAAGCAAAGGAAGGACTTATGTAGCGGCTGAAATTCAACTCCCGCCTGACGGATACGACTTTAGTCTGAAGGCAACGCTAGGGGTTCGAACCCCGGCTCAGGCCGTAATTACGATCGTTTGAATTGGCCGGGGGATCGATTGGAGAGGCACGAACGTGTAGTGTAAATGCTGTTAATATGTCTTAAAATATAGTGTTTGTTTGTTTGTTTGAAGCAAAGGTAAGTACCAGTATAGGTAAGGTTTCTCTCTCTCTATATTGACCGAGTTGATGGGATCCAGTCGAAACCAGGTTGTGAATGTGAATCCGTTCTCGTACGGCCACCGTGCCAACGGGGGTAGCACCACCGCCTGAAACAACATACAATTTATAAGGTCATGGCTATGAATAAATAAAACATATAAATGACAATTACAACTCTGTGAGTAGTTGTTAAAAAAATTATACTGGTGACTTATCCTTGCTTCGCGCGGTATGAGTTATTTTATTGAGATAACATAGATCGTTTTTAAAATATTTATAATATTTTAGTCTCCAAGATATTATAAATATATTAAAATTTTAATTTAGTCTATTACAGTTTTATCTTATATATAAAATTCTCGTGTCACAATGTTATGTAGTTACCATACTCTACCGCCTTCACCGATTTTAATGAAATTTTATATGCATATTCAGTAGTCTGAGAATCAGCTACTCTTTTTCATACCTAAGTGATAAGGGTTATCAACCCCTAATATTTATTTTTCCTTAAACTTTCACCCTTATATCACCAACTCATATTTTTTAATAGCGATTTAAATTTCTATGGCAAAACAACATTTGCGGGGTCAGCTAGTAATTTATAAACATAAAGTATTTTTGATATAACATTAAAAATATTTAAAATAATGATTAATCTATTTTATATTAAATTTGCATTCATTAAACGAAATTTAATGTTAAATATTAAACTTCTTTCATTAACGTAGTTTACCGTACAATAGACGTACCTAGTTCCCATAATAGTCGATCACGTTATTCGTTGAAAATAATTTTCCTATAATTGTGTACACATATTGCATCCCTATTGTTATCCCGTAACAGCAAAACCGTAAAACATCTCGAAGTGCGACCCTAAATTATGAAACTCCCACACTTCTCCACAGTAACGTAAGCAAGCAACAAACTGAATTTCATATTTTATTTATTTTTATAAAACCCAGCCCTCGTAAACAAACTCGCAAAAAGATTATGCTAAACGGTAAAACTACCAGGGCTACATAAACGCAAGCAGTAATAACCCATCATTCTTCACCGTAGGCGTTGAATATCATTTATAATTCCTATACGAATATATTTTTTACACTCGCTTCCCCGGACGGGTACGGGGCACATCGGCCGGTCGTGGGGCGACCCATTTTTTTACTTTTGACGGAAATTTATGTTAAAAACATATTTTACTCGTGTTTATCGCTTGTCACCCATATTCATGAAAGTATATTATCGGCAAAAATATGATGAGACACGTCGAGGAAAACCCTATTCAAAATATTTACAATAAATTTAGTGACTCCACAGAAAAATGTATCTGTCACCTTTTTAAGATCCTTAAGGAATTAACGATACGATTTGTTGTATAGCCTGTGGAGACAATCTGTAGGGTCGATTTCTTTTTATATGAAGATTACAGAATAAATATCAAATTGTATGATCCGTGCAGTGCTTCCACCAAAGTTGTCATTTTACATAAAAAATTTGCTCCTCAAAGTATTAGCTGTGTCCGCGACTTCGTCCGCGTGGAATAGTACATACGTATGCGTACCTTGACGAAATATAAAAGAAGTATTTAATAATCTAACCCAAAAATAAACCACAGAAAAAACAATCCTTTAAGGGTAAAATTTTTTATAAACTTTGAATGTCAGATTTAATCAACACCCTAAAAAATAAGTTTCTGCTTTAATTCCATACAACCTTTCATTAACAACCCTTTTTCTGACTAGAAAGTAGCCTATGTCCTTTCTCAGTCTAGACTATATGTGTAGCAAATTTCATTTAAATCAGTCCAGTTGTTTTGGTGTGAAAGCGCGACAGAGTATTTTCACATTTATAATATTAGTAAATAATTGCTGTAATGATCTACTACTTTTGTCTAGTTAACTCAAGGAGACAAATTATCTACATTTGTACTATATATTACAAGAAAGAACTGCATAGCTCTTTAATTTTGAAAAACCAAAATGGACATTTGTTTTCACTGTTGCATGTCAGCAATGACAAAATATGTGAAACTAGTAGAGTTAAAATCACGTATGTACCACATTTTTGGATAATAAATAAAATATTCATTTCATTTCATTTCATATTTCTATATCAACTACTGTAACATGTAAAAATGTAACAAGTAAACTTTGACGGTTTTGATGGTCTAGTGGTTTAATACACTTACTTCCGATGGTCGCGGGTTCGATTCCTCGCACGGCACAAACATTTGTATTCATTTGTATGATTGTTTCGGTCTGGGTCTTTTCTATGTATAATATGTATGTATTTAGAAAAAAATCTATGTATTTGTATCAGTTATTTTTTACTCATAACACAAGCTTTAGCTAGCTTAACTTGGGTCTAGATGGCGCTGTGTGAATTGTCCTGAGATTATTATTATTATGAAATTATAAACTTGTGTAATATGTAAAAATGTAACAGATAAACACAACGAGGCTACAAGCGCTATTCCATATATTCAACAGGCTTGTAAGGACAATAAATTGGGATAAAACATCGCCAAGTCCCTTTGTACGTAAAAGGGATATCCGTTATCTTTGAAAATAAACTACATTAAAACTCCTCTGGCGCACATTAAGTCACTTTCCAACTGACAAGTAGCTTATAACATTAACTTGTGTCGTTATAAATACACCTTTAGACTTCATCAAAAGAAAATGTAGCCTCGTTTCTAGATTATGAACTTATAGTTCAGAAGGGAATTGCGAGGAAGTAATTCAATTTGCTCTCATTTAAAATGAAATAGTTATTGCAGAGCGATGACTACATAATTATAAAAAAAAACAGCTTTTTTTATAGGTCTACAAGACTGGATATCTTAGAGAGAACATAACAATATAATAAATAATAGATACAATACACACAAGAACATAAATATTAATAATAGATAAAATGAACTATTTAAGTAATACATCCTACTAGATGTAGACACAGCATGCATTGCTTAACTTTTACACACACAAAATGACACTATATTTAATACACACAATAATTAGAATAGAATAGAATAGAATAGAATAGAAAATCATTTATTCAAATAAACTTAATTTAAGCACTTTTGAATAGTCATAAAATTTTTTTTTATTTACCGCTCATTCGACAACGTTCCACTCTCCTGAGACATTTTCGCATGTTACTGAGTGTCCACTGGCCACATACATTCAATAACATGTGATCATTAGCCTTTTCAGTGGCCGTCAGGGTATACCTCCGGAGATAGTTACATCTGCTATCGGAGTAAAGCGAGTCTTAGTCGATAGACACAAATAGAATAGAATAGAATATAAAAGAAATCATTTATTAAAATAAACTTACCTTGAAGCACTTTTGAATAGTCATTACATTTTTTTAATCTACCGCTCATTCGGAAAGCTGTCTTATCACAAGAAGAACGAGCAAGAAACTTGCGTGTTGCTCTTTTAAATAATTTTATTATTACTTTACATTTTTAAGTTTAAGTGTGTAGACAAACCACCAATTAGCACTAATTCAATTAAATACTGAAATAGAAAAAATATTGAATATATAACCAACTGGTTAAACAATTAATAAGAGGAAATCAGTCATAGTGATTAGAGCACCCAACACGAGTTTGACGGATGAGCCAGCCATCACTGCGCTCGACCATATTTTAGGGAGCCCAATGACCCGGCGTACCACGACGCCACAAGTCTGGACATTTTAGTGAGCATGACTACTCAAAACACTAGATCACGTCAAAGCTACTTAGTAATAATATACCTAGTAGAGTATCTACACTCACAACAGAGTCACCTTTTAAATTATCCCCTGTCAAATTCAGACGAGGATCGTAATTATGACTGCCTGAGCCGAGGTTTGAAATCCTAGCCAGGCACTTTGACTAAAATTGTATCCGTAAGACGTATCTGCCAGGCAGGAGTTGGCTTTCAGCCGCTCCACAAGTCCCTTCCGTGGGTTAGAAGTGTCATTTGCACTCGTCTCTTATCGTCCGGTGAAGCTGTTAAGACCAGCTGCGGTCAAGATCATAGTGAAAGCAGATTTAGTTATAAACAAACTGAACTTCAGAACCACTACATCGATTTTAGAGATTCTTTTTCTTTTTGAATGATCTGACATAGGTACAAAATTCACAAAATTAGTAGCACCCATGCGATGCCGGAGCGGTCTACTAGTCAATATTTTTTGTATATCAGTGACTAATATTTCATTACAGTCGGCTACAAATATTGATTGTTTGATATTGCTAACAAACTAACTCGGATTTTTTTTTATTAAGTATTTTACGGCCCTGGAAATCTCCTTTCAGCCAAACAATTACATTCTACAAATACAAATCAACTATTAATTAGAAATTAAAAAAAAAACACCCGAACAAGCAAGAGCGGCGAAAAGAGCAAGATTATTCCTAATTATGAAGAACGTTTGGATAAGGGATAAATTTAATTAAGGGGCATAAATCACTCCGAGTAAACATTCCCAATATATGTACGTAGATACCAGACAAGCAGACACAGCTAAGAAGCCAGCCCGCCGTCAGATCTCCGGATAAGCGCGACAGAGAGAAATGGACCGGGCCCCGGCTACGACGGCGATAAATAAGGAAAAAAACGGACGCCAGATAGCCCAGTATGTCACGCGGATTACACCCGCCGGCCCGTATTTGAATAAGAATTGCCAATAAGGAGAGTAGGACCGCTTAAACTGAGCTCCTGAAATGTCCTGCGTGCCTGGTACACTGGTATTGATCTGTTAAATATCGAGGTCGGTTTAACAAAACAATAAAGTTTGTTTGAATGATTTGTTGATGACATGCAGTTCACATAAATATCACACATACATACACATTTTAACTAGTAGAACCCGCGGTTTTGTACAGTTTAACAATTTTAGATATTTAAACATTTCTGTTAAATATGAATTATTTTAAACTTGATTACAATATTTGTACATTTATACTATATTCGTTTTAGCACATTGCTTTACTTCCGATGGCCGCGGGTTCAATTCTTCGAACGGCTCAAACATTTGTATTCATGACCAGACTAGACTGGTACAAACAATCATACTCATGAATCCAAATTGTTTGTGCCGTGCGAGGAAT